ATGGTAGGTCCCAGCAGCCTCGGGGCATCTTCTAAAGGTGGCATAGAGTTTCTCCCATCCAAGCGTTCAACCACGGTCATTAGTCCACGTACCAGATCGGTTAGAGTGGCTAGTTGGGACTGCATCTGCACAGGATCCGGCCGCGGCGCGTCTGGGGACGGGACATCATTTCTGACCGGGGGTGGAACCTCCTCCACCCCGTCATTCACCGGATGACTGGTGGTCTTGTCCATCTGGCTGCCTTGGTTGATGGCCTCAATTCTTCTTCTTAGAGGCATGCTTGCTGACTATTTTGTTGTTGGGGGTCAAACGCGTTCGCTCCCTAGTGGAGTCGCCAATTGTTGACGGTGAATTTTCGTCAACAAAAATAGGTTGGGCTACCTCTAGGTTTCCCGTCGGATTACCGGCTTTAATATAGGTTTTATGTAAGAGTTTTGTACTGAAGGTGTTTGATGTTTTTAGAGGGATGGGCAATTTGAAAGAATAATCCTCTAAAGTAAAGGAGCATAAAGAGATTTTATAATGGTTCACTCTATAAAATCATAGCTACATCCACTGTGGTTGTATATTCTTTTTTAGATGATTACAATTTACATCAATTGCTCTCTTGCTATTTTTTCCCTCTTTTTTTTTACGTGAACCTCTTTTGCATGGGACTTTGCCTCTTTTATATATAGAGCTTCCTTCGCTGGGTGGGTTTCCTTTGTAGGTAGAAGCACTCGAGTGCTCTTCCTTTTTAGGCCCAGACGTAGCCTACTAATCACTTGGAGTACTGTTCACTCAGCCAATTAGTCTCCTATTACAGCTCTGTGCATACCTGTAACCCTTTTCTGTCCCCCGTGGGGCGGTTTAAGGGTTTGTAATTAATGCCTGCATTACAGACATCCCTCATTACTGTACACAACTTGCCACATCAGGCTTTCCCCTAAGGAGCATGCCCCTCGTCGCCAGTGTTGTTTAGCCCAATTGTCCTTCTTGGCGGTCGATTCTATGACGAGGGATTTTTATGTTGTAAGGTCGACGGTATGATCTGTCGACGCCAAATGAAATTGACGCCCTAAGTTGGACTTCTTACTTGGGCTCTTCGCAATGGAAAGGAAGGGAGCCCCAGACGTCAAGGGTTGTTGTTTTGCGAGGAGAAGTTAAGGCCACATGTCATATTGTCATTCTTCCACGCATCCTCCACATTTTCCCCTACAACAGCTACCCCCCAGGTCGAGGGTTTCTTTTAGACAGCCTTAAGCTTAGTTCGGTCGTTCTTCCGTGCTTCGAGTGTGGGAAACCGGTCTCGAGCCTTCATCTGCAATGATGGTCTGGATTCTTCAGATTTTCTTAAGGAACGCAACCATCGCGTCAGTCACTTCCTTATGCTAATGTGGGGCCTTATTTTGAAAGGACGAACGTGAGCCTTTGGATTGCGCCCCTTCGTTTTCTCGCCTGAGTCTGTCATCGTCCGATCTGGGCGGGATTCCCTTGCTGTTAGATTCTATGAATTTCATCCGACAGTCAGGGGTCAAGGGTTTTCTTCCCCTTAAAAACCTTTCTGAACCAAGACCATTTTTGTCAAACACAAACACATTTCGCTTTCGTTGAATTGCCGTTTGCTCTGCCAGAATTCTTCCCCGTGAACCTTGACTCGCATTCCTTGTGTTGCTTGGCGTGTTACGAAGCTGCCTTAGTCCCAGACCTTGCCCGGAATCCTTCTTACTGGTAAGCCTCATCATCCTTTGCTTGTATCGTTTCTTACGGGTTTTCCCTATTGAATCACATGCATGTGTCAATATGCGAAATGTAGAGGTTAGAGAGACTTACTTTGTTTTGTTTGTCCGCATAGGATAGTTCTTTTTCTGGCTTTGTGGTTGTCTGTGCGCTTCTGGTTCCTGGGTTCTAGTGAACTTGGGCTACCATGAACATTCATCGTTACCATTCTTACATGAACGGTCGATGTTATCTCAAGGCGTTTGAGCAGTCGTCGTTTAGAATGGCCATCTTTTTCTTCTTCCTCTCGACGTTAGGGTTTTAACTCAGTTCCTTGTCTTTTTAATCACCAGAATAATGGCCCAAAACTCCCCCCGTCAAGAGGATCCCTCAGTCGTCCATCCAGACTCCCTTTCTGTGGTGGAGATTTCATGGTCTTCTTCTTCAGGCATCGACTCCTTGCTGAGGGAAGTAGAAGACGCCGAGGCCATGTATGGACTAGCCGACGATTTTGGTAGCGAGTTTGGTAGTGTAGAACAGATGTTAGATGAAGTGGTTGACCGAATTCCATTTACGGAGGGCAGTGTAAGCGGAGTGGCCACCTCACTGGTGGATGGCCCCCTGGCTGCCACGAGTGGTGACCCGAACAGGCCTTTCTTCACAGCCGGCATTGTGGCGTCGAGAGTCCGAAATAAGGACATTATCTGGGCAGTGAAGGAAGGATGCATTGACGAAAGGTGGTTCGAATAACTCCTCCCAGACATGCATTTTAGGACTAGTATGCCTCTGACCGGATACCTCCCTGTCTATACCAGAGTCGTTACAGCGGGGATGACCCTTCTGGTTCATCCCTTTGTAAAAGATTATTGCCACTTTTATGGCATTTCCCCTGCCCAATTGCTACCAAATTTCTGGTACTGCTTTGTTGGCGCCTGGATTTTGTGGAACCAGCAATTTGACATGGATCTTCCTCTGGATGAGTTTAGATTTATGTACAGACTGTGTCATGTCGCCAAGTGCGAGGGGTAGTATTTTTTGAGTGGGTACGGGAGATCTCAGCCCATATTTGGCAAGCTAATACTGGGCATTCCCTCGTCGTCACATGGGTGGAAACCCATATTTTTATGATACACGGGCCCTTTAATTTTCATCCCGACGACCGCCTGCCCCGCCGAAGGAAGGTGCAGGAGTCATTTAGGAACATGGGTGAGACTTTAATTCCCTTTCTTTTACCTTACTTTGCTTCTTCCTTCTTACACTGACAGTCTTTTTATCCTACAGTTAGTCAGGAACGGCCGAAGTTCTCTAGAAACAATTTGGCAAGGATTGAGAAGACCTTCTCGTTCCTGTCCGAGGTTCACCATATTGACACCCTCCTGACCAAGGCCAATCTTCGAAGTGCTGGGTTAATTCTCGATCTCCCAGACCCTACTGACCTCGACGCTGTCCACAAATACTTCCATTTAAACGACAAAGGTAAACCCATGTTCCCGACGCCTTTCTTATAATGGCATTTTGTTTATCCAAGCGTCGACTATATTTTTGTCTCGTTGTTTCTGCAGAAATGGCATCTTTGAGGATCCAGCTTCCCGGCAGTCAGCCATCTGAGCCAAGCCAGCAGCCCCCGCTGAGCCGACAACTCCCTTCTAAGGGAAAGGAGAAAGCTAGTTCTTCTTCCTAGGCGCCGAGGACAAAGAAGACCACAAAGGGCCCTTTGGTGTCGGAGGTGGATCATGCACCGAAAAGGAGGCACAAAGAGAAGACGTCAGTGGCAGAAACTTGGACGCCGATGGTCCCCATTCTTGATGTCAATGTTCCTCCAGCGCCGAGGGAACGCGTGCTTATCCCGGGGGCAAAAATCATGGATCCCAATTTCCAAGTTCCAGACATCTTTGATTCTGAGATTAGGGCGATGCTGAAACTTTCCCCTTGCTTCTCCCTTGTCTTCCAGGCTCTATATGAGTCTTTTCTCGAGCTGTACTAGATTGCTGCCACTCAATCTTCTTTGGTTGATCGTCAGTGAAAGCAGATCTCTTTCCAAATTCACGTAAGACTCGATTGAGCTGCTTTTTACTGGTTTCGCCACTTGTATTTTTATTTTCTGACCTCTAGTTTTTCAGGGCCTAATCCTCGCCATCCTCAACCTTCTCGACCTAGTGAAGGTTGAGGAGCGTGATAAGGAGATGGACGGCATAGAGGCCAAGCTTAACTCTCTTCTCGATGATGCTAAAAGTCAGTATGCGAATGCCGTCGAGCAGAGAGATGTGGCCATGGCCAAACTGAAGAGTTTCGAGGATGAACTGGCCAAGCTAACTGCTGCGGTTGCAGACCTCACGAAGCGGGCAGATATGTCTGAGGCGAAGTTGGCCGAAGCAACTGAGGCAGTGAAGAGATGTTTTGCTGAAGGGAAAGCTAAGGGGAAGAAGGAAGCTGAAGCCGAGGCTGCAGCAGTATTTGATGCCAAGCGTTCAGAGATTATTGAGGAGTTCAAGGCTTCTCCGGAGCTCATCGACATTCGTACCAAGGATTTTTAATCCACTAGTCAACAAATTGTCGATTTGATAAAACAAGAGCATCCTGAGTGGGATTTCAACTTTCTTTATGATGCTCCTCCTCCTGCTGGTGATGACAACTCTTCCCCGCCTAGTGATGACTCGGCGGTTGGCGGCGATGCCTGAAGAGATTTTTTTTTTTGTACTGCTGTCTGTAACTTATATGACATTGGTTTGGACATCTTTTTATTTCATTTGTGTTTTATAAAAAGACAGTAGATTGACAATAGATTTCATACCTTGCTCATTGTTATTATACATTCGCCTCTCCCTCTTGAAGGAGTCATTGTTGATTTTACCCCTTGGGGTCGTTTGTCTTTAGAAAATTCTTGGGAATTTTGCTGAGTGTTCGCCTCTCATCCTTGGAGGAGTTGACGCTGATTTCACCCCTTGGAGGTTTTTTTTTCATAAAAAAAATTCCTTAGAATTTTGCTAAGTGTTCGCCTCGCCTCTCCTCCTTGGAGGAGTCGATGCTGATTTCACCCCTTGGGGTTTTTGTCTTAGAAAATTCCTTAGAATTTTGCTAAGTGTTCGCCTCTCCTCCTTGGAGGAGTCGACGCTGATTTCACCCCTTAAGGTCGTCGTGTCATTTTTAGCGATCCATGGACCTCTGCCCCCCATGTCTTTTTAATATACCTTGGTTTTTTAAACAAACATGTTATTAAGGGGTGAATTCTTTTCCTTCTGCAAACATATCAATTTATTTAAATTGTAAGGATGTACAATTGGGATGCGTGAGAATTACATACACTATTGGTAGTACAGCCTTAGCTGTTCTGCATTCCATGGGTGTTGAATTCTCTTGCCGTCGAGGCTTTCCAAAATGTAGGTGCTAGGACGCGACACTTCCCTTATGCGGTAGGGCCCTTCCCAAGTCGGGCTCAGGGGACCGGTATTTTTTAGATTTGTACTCTGCGTTACCATTTTCAATACTAGGACTCTTGGGATGAACCTCCTTTGTCGAACTCTCTTGTTGTAATATCGTGATGCTCTTTGCTGATAGGCGGCGAGACGTAGTTGAGAGTCGAGCCTTTTTTCTTTCAGCAAGTCAAGTTCTCCATTCATGCCTTCTGTGTTATCATCGTCGTTGTGGATGACGGTTCTTAGGGTTGGCATTTCAATTTCTACAGGGAGTATTGGCTCGACACCATATGCCCTGGAGAAAGGTGTTTCACCTATGGTAGTTCGGCTCGTCGTTCGGTATGCCCATAAGACCTTGGGGAGTTCTTCGGCCCATTTCCCTTTTAGATTGTCGAGCCTCTTTTTTAGGGTATACTTCAATATTTTTTTGATTGCCTCGACTTGCCCATTAGATTGTGGATGGATCGGCACTGAGAAGTCTTTTCGAATGCCCAAGCTGTCGCAGAATCTGCGTGTTGAGGAATTGTCAAATTTTTTCCCATTGTTGGATACTATTTGTTGGAGAAACGGATCCGGTTATCAGAGTTACGGCGCAGCGAAAGTTTTAAAATTTTAATGTTGAACAAGGAAAGAAGACTCATGATGTATATAACAATAAATTAAATGCATGATCAAACATACCTTGTTTCTTGGACTCCAGAATATTTAGAGCGTCCACCAACGAATCTTCTCCACTATTCTCGAGCTCATTATCTCAGAGTGTGTGTGGGCACACGTGGTAAGGTTCCAAGCGATCGGTATTGCACTATGAACCCTAAATCTCGCTTTCTCAACCTTAACGCAAGACAGGAACAAGTTGACCTCGATCTTTTTCACTCGATAAAACCTTTCCTCTTAGTTTTGATTCAATGGAAATTTCTCTCTTATTTTTCCTCACACCATGAACGAATTCTTAAGTCCAGAAAATCCCAAAAAAACATTTTTCCCTTATCCTGAAGAAAGCCAAAAACGTTTTTCTCTCTCTTTCTCCCAAAATTCGTGTATCGCCTTTTGTGATCTATTATTATCTCTTGTTTCATGAAGCACTAGCCCTAATATAATATCTGGATCCTTTTTCAAAAAACAAATTTTCTACCCAAAAAATAATTAATAATTATTTTTACTAGAAAATCTTTTTGAACCAAAAGATCACAAACTTTTTGGGCTAGGTTCTATGAACCTTATCCACGAATTTCCTTAGGAGAAGGACTCCAAAAATTCGTGCACTTATCTTTAGGAGATAAGGTTGTTGGTTTCAACTCAAATCAAGATCCTTTGATCTTCCAAAAGTCCAAATCCTATCTTGATTCAAACTCCTCTTAAAATTTGAATTTAAATAAGATTCTCTTGTTTGGATTTTAAATAAATATTTTCCACAAACATTATCCATATTAATTAATTTAATCAAATGAAATATTCTAGATTTTTTTTCTCTAAAAAAAAAACGTGAACCATCTTTTTTAAATGAAGAAAATCTATCAAATAAGCTCCATTGTTTAAACTAATTAATAATTAATATTAGGAATATATTTTAAACTATTTTGAAACAAAATCTATTTCCCTCCATCCATTAAAATTCGTTCACTTTAAATAGGAGAGAATAAATTTTGTTTTTCCAAAATTAAACAATTCAAACACAATCTTATTTCCAAAATTCAATTAACCAAAATAATTAACAAATAATTATTTTATCCACAACCAATCATATGTCGACAAATCATTATGTTTGTCCACATTAATTTCACATGTCCAATCCTTTCAGAATTGCATGCAAGAGAGTACCATGTCTTTATCAGACACTACTTAATTTCCATTTAGCTTACCGATCTCATTAAGAACGAATCCTGAGACGCTTCGTGGAACTATATGAGCTAGTAGAGGGACCCGATGGAAATATGTAAAGAGGCTCCTATAATTGTGAAAAATTAATCCCTGATTAATTATTCAACAATTATCAACTTCAGGACTATACCACTAAAAGTCTAAAGCTGAACTCCCGTTTACATACCGTATTACGAAAGCTCTCTTACGTAGTGCTTCTTCCATTATCATTCATCACTTGCTTAATCCCCAATATGTTATCCATGATTGAATTAAGGACTTATTCTGTTTTACCTTTTCAATCATTTTAACTTAAAGTTCCATTATTCTCCATTGAAAGAACCACCGATTGTAAAAACCATACAATCGATAAACCACCGGAGGACACAAAGTAAAATGATGGCCAAGACCTTGTTATACTGTCTTTCAATCCCCGAATAATGCCTTCAAGTAGATAACATTTACCATCTACTAGATGGCTATGGTTTTCGTATCTATAAATCTTGATTTCTCCATCCATATGTCATACACCCAACACACAAGTATATTAACCATCAATTATCAGTGTCTCACCTATAGTGGATCAAAGTGCATGAGTCATGGATGCGAACTCAAGTATCCATTTCAGGATTAAGATTAATAAAGGATGATAATCAAAGCATCATTGATTCTTATAAATGGAATTATTAAACCGAATCAATTAACATTTTAGGTCCAGTCCAATGTCATACCTCAATACTGGTATACATCAAGGTTTCTACTCGGAACCGATCCGATGGTCAAGACAAACCATCCCTCCAAGGAAGTAGACAACCTTTACAATCTTAACATGAATAAGATCCCCAAATCTTGTTCCATCGATTGCGGACCTTTTATTTAGACTGTTATCGAATTATCATGTCTTCTATGTATACCCCATATACAACGGTAATCCGATATGTTACCAATAGCCTAGGAGTATTTATGTTTGCTCAATTAATCATACATTCAACAAATGAAAGTAAATAGGACACCACTTATTAAACATGAATAACCTCTTTTATTAATATCAAAATGTCAATCTGCAGAAAATCCCTAGAATCGATTTTCTATCCTTAGGGCACATATAGATCCCAACACTATTGAGTGGGGAACCCCAAACCTACACACAATGTTGTTCCACATGAAGTTGGTGCAGGCTACTTCCGTGGTTATAGTCAGAGCTTTTGCCTCTGTCCACTTTGTATAGTAATCTACTGCGACGATGGTAAATTTAAAGCCCCTAGGTGCAAGGTGTAATGGCCCGATCAGGTCAACCCCCCATTTAGCGAAGGGCCATGGACTGAGAATGGAGGTTAAATTTTCTGGGGGTGCTCTAGGAATTGTGACATACCTTTGGCACTTAACACAACGTCGGGCGTATTGAAAAGTGTCCTTTTTGAGCGTGGGCCAGTAGTATCCTTGCCTCAAAACCTTAAGAGCTAAAGACTACCCCCAGTATGATTACCGCAGACTCCTTCATGAATTTCTCGGAGGACCTTATGGGCTTCGTCATCATCCAGGCATCGCTGTAGCGGTGTCGAATAGCCTCGTCGGTAAAGCAAACTGTCGTACAATAAGTATCTAGCGGCTCTATACCTGATCCGTCTGGCTTCGTCTTTATTGTTTGGCAGTTGTGCATCCATTAGGTATTGGATGAGTGGCGTCATCTAATTTTCACCTGTTTGGATGATTAGTGCCTTAGCTACTACCTCAATGGTCGGCCGCTCTAGTTCTTCGATGGGAACGACCCCTAGTGCGTCAGAACCTTTTGAAGATGCTAGCTTTGATAGAGCATCGGCGTTTGCATTTTCGGCTCGTGGTATTTGAAGTATCTCGTAGTATTTGAACTTGATGAGTTCTTCCTTCACCTTTCTCAAGTACGCACCCATTTTCTCACCGCGCGCTTGGTATTCTTCTTTCACTTGCACAATGACCAACTGAGAGTTGCTGAAGATGCTAAGCCTCTCTATCTTTAAGTGACTGGCCAATCGCAACCCCACAATTAGCGCCTCGTATTCTGCCTCGTTGTTCGACGCTTTGAATTTAAATCAAACCGCCGAGGTGATCTTGTGGCCTTCTGGGCTAATCAATAGGACGCCGGCTCCTGACCCATTATCGCTCGACGCTCCATCCATGTAGAGCTTCCATTCTATATTCTCGACTTCTTCTGGCGTAGCGGGAGCCGGTCTATGGGAGAACTCGACCAGAAAATCAGCCAGCGCTTGGCCCTTGATCACTGTTCTTGGTACATACTTAATGTCGAACTGGCTTAACTCTACCGACCATTTGAGAAGTCGACTAGAAGTTTTGGGCTTTTGTAGCGCTTGTCTCAACGGATGGTTTGTGAGAACCCGTATTGTGTGAGATTGGAAATAGTGTCGATGCTTCCTTGAAGCTACCATCAGGGCAAGGGCCAAGCGTTCCATTTCGGTATATCTTGACTAGACGTCGAGGAGTCTTTTGCTCACATAGTAAATTGGCAACTGTACCCTTTCTTCTTCCCATATTAGTATAGAGCTTACGGCGTGTTGGGACATGGAGAGGTATAGGCTAAGCTCCTCGTCGGGGTTAGGCTTTGACAGGATTGGGGGCTTGCCCAAATGCTCCTTCAATTCTGGAAGGCCTCTTCACATTGTAGTGTCCATTCGAAATGCCTACTCCCTTTCAAAGCATCGAAGAAGGGGACGCACTTGTCTGTTGCTTTCGATATAAATCTGTTTAAGGCGGCGACGCATCCTATCAACCTTTGCACCTCTTTTGGCTTAGTCGGGGACCGCATATCCTATAAGGCTTTAATCTTTTTAAGGTTAGCTTCTATCCCCTGGTTGCTGACCATGAAACCAAGGAATTTTCCTGACCCAACTCCAAAGGCGCATTTTTGGGAATTTAGTTTCATGTGGTATTTTCTTAGTACACCGAACATTTCACCCAGATGGTCGACGTGTTGGTTGGCCCTGGCACTTTTTACAAGCATATTGTCGACGTAGACCTCCATTGATTTACCGAGCTGTCGAGCGAACATCTTATTCATGAGCCTTTGGTAGGTAGCCCCCGCATTCTTTAGGTCAAAAGGCATCACCTTGTAGTAGTAGAGGCCCCTATCCGTTATGAAGGATGTGTGCTCCTCGTCGGCCGGATGTATGGGGATCTGGTTGTACCCAGAGTAAGCATCCATAAAACTCAGCATTTCATGTCCTGTTGTGGCGTCGACTATCTGGTCTATTCGAGGGAGTGGAAAGCCATCCTTCGGGCAGGCTTTGTTGAGATCGCTAAAGTCAACGCATGTTCTCCAGCTTCCATTAGGCTTGACCACCAGATCGGGGTTTGAGACCCAACGCGGGTAATGGGCCTCCCTGATGAACCCGTTGTTGATCAATTTGTCGACCTCCTCTTTCAGCGCCTCATACCTCTCTGGGTTCATTGGTCGACACTTCTGGCATTTGGGAGGATATGAGGGGTCAACGTTTAGGGAGTGACATATAACCTCGGCGTCGATCCCTTCCATGTCGGCGTGGTTCCAGGCGATGATATCTAAGTTCTTTTTGAGGAAGTCTTCAATTTTAATCTTAAGTGATGGGGCTAGGTCTGAGCCTATTTTTAGCACTTTGGTTGGCTCACCCTCATCAACTTGGATCTCCACCAATTGCTCGATGGGTTGGGACCATGTGACCTCCTCTTAAACCCTGGGGTCTATGTCTTCAACGGTGTTTTGGTAGACCATCCTCGCCTCCAATCATCTTGGCTGGTCGTATCCGCGCAGGGCATTGGAGTATGCAACCCTAGCCTCGTACTGGTTGCTCTTCATCTCACCTACGCCGTTTGGGGTAGGGAACTTGACCTTCTGGTGGTAGATGGAGGTTATTACCCTCAGCGCCTGAAGGGTCGGTCTCCCAATTACAACATTGTACCGAAAGCCTCCCTTTATTACCACAAAGTTGGTCATTGTCGTGGTCTGTCGGGGTTTTTCTCCGGCGGTTATGGGCAACTGGATAGTCCCCTGAGGGATGACGGAGTCCCGGGTGAAACCGTATAATGGCCTGGAGGTTTTCTCCAACTGCTCCTTTCGGATCCCCATCTTTTCCAAGCAGTCGGAGTACAGGAGGTCCACGGAACTCCCATTGTCTACCAGGATTCGGTATACAGTGTGGTTCCCAATCACAGCCTCCACTACTAACTCGTCGTTATGGGGGAAGTGAACTTCGCTGGCATCGTCCTCATTAAACGCCACGTCGGCACTGCTATATCTTGGGGTTTTTGCAGCGGAGACACTCCATAATCTTTCCTGTTAAACACCTTTGGCCTCGTGGGCGTAGTCCTTCTGGGATCTCCTTGAGTCTCCTCCCATATAGGGGCCACCGAGGATAGTCCATATGATGCCGACAGGTTCTCGGTCCTTTGGTTGTTGGTTCTCCTCTCAGCGTCGACCGTCATTCTACCCACCGTGGCCATCATTTCGAGGTCTCCGCTTAGCTTTGAACTCCTGTAGCCTCCTGTAACGCCCTCTAAAATTAAACATGTTTAATTATGCTAAACTGTGGATTATTAGTGTGCCTAATTTGATTTTCATAATTAATCAAGGGACTTTAAGTTATTTTCAGTATTTATAATTTCATCCTAAAGATTTTTGGAAAACACACTTAAATTTTAATACATTTTCCTTTTTTTCCATTTTTCTTTTTCCTTTTCTTTTCTTTTTCTTTTTCTTTTTTTCTTTTCTTTTTTTTCTTTTCCCCTTTCCCTTCCCGTGCGCCTAGCCCACTCTCCTTCTTTTTCTTTTTTTTTCCTCTTCGTCTTCTCTGGTTCTT